AAATGGGAAATTTTAATGGCGAAATGGGAAATGGCGAAGTGGGAAAATGGCGAAACGGGAATAAACCTTCGGATCACATAGTGTAAAGTCATTTAAGTAGAGAGTTACATTTATTGTTTAGTTGTGTTTGTAATACAAAGTGTTTTTAATTTATACATTTGTTTTGTCTTTTTCCCTGTTTAATCTGTGAATTTTCTCCATCCAAAGTTAAAGTGGCCATTTTACCCCACTTTCCCCAACATGTATTTTTTATTGAAACCACGAAAATTGGTACCCACGAAAACAAGCGACTTTACAGTAACTCCGTGGCAGCCAGTAGCGGAGTCTCATAAAGCACTATAGGCAGTGAGCATTACACACAAAATAAATATTACGATAGATTTAAAGAATGCGCATGGTACGGCACATATAATATATATACAATATACTATTAATATATATATATATAATTAATAATTAATAATTAAATATTTATTAATAAATATATAATAAATATATAGTATTATGCTACATAATATAACAATTGCCAGCGTTCTGAAACTCATATAAACAGAACATGTTAGCAAGAACTGAATGGCTTTGACTTATGGCAGTCCCATCAGGCCCGCCTAGTCTTTGTTCATGTATAGAAAGACATAGACGTAGACGACGCAGATCTACATTTCTCTGTCATTTAGATACCCTGGCTTTACTGTGTGGACTATTAGTGGTACGCGAGCGGGCCCACGAGTGGAACATGTGTTCGACGGTTTCAAACGCAGGCCAGTGTTCAAACGCAGATAAAATTCAACGTTGTGACTCCACTTCCCGATTCCGAGCCCCTACATACACGGCCATCAATATTTGTCCACACGGAGTACGTGATCCCGCGAGTATTATTTGTCAATAGACAGTCACATACTCTCCGTAAATACGACACCGCTTCGCCATCAGTAGAGCCAGCGAGCTAGCAGCCGCGTGCCAGACATCGCGGGTTCAATAGAGTACTTTCCGTGTTATAACTCGCCTGAACAAAACACATACAAATCAAGTGATATATATATATATATATATATATATAGTATAAGTAACAACATACTATTTGACTGATCTAAATATACGTCGTTGGGATACGGTAGCGAATACGCAAACAAGATTTATGTTGCTGTGTTTGTATCCAATTGCGTGTTTGTCGATTGAGCTGTCGTGCTCACTACTGTATAGCTCACACATTATGTATAGGTAAGCTGAAGGCGCAGTCTCTATACCGGTGAGAATATATGCCAGGTATGATGGTAAGAAAATTTTTACCATTACTTCACTTGTAGGCTGCGAATTCACAACTGAAAGTAATGTCTGATAGTAAGATGTCATGTGCCAAAAGCTCTTGCGTTGTAAAGTAACCGCTTCTCTTCGTTAATGGCCGCTATAGCAAATATATAAACATAAACAGTCAGACTTAGTGCATTGCATAAGTAGCATTCAGGAAATGCTGTGTTTCAACCCGTGTTGAATTGATAGCGCGCTCTAACGAAAAGAGTCTGTTTATAAAAGATCGTGATAAATCTTTGCCAACGACATTTCGAGATCGGCGAGCTTTCGTATGTAACTACTAGGTAACTTAACTCGTGCCCTTGCTGCGCGTTAGGGGGAGTGGGTTCGACACACGCACGTGCGCGCGCACACACACGGACAGCACACACACACACACACACACACACACACACACACACACACACACACACACACACACACACCGACACACACACACACTACACACACTACACACACACACACACACACACACACACACACACACACACACACACACACACACACACACACACACACACAC